TCTGTTGAAGTGCATCATTCAGTTTGTCCAGCTGATGACAGTAGACTTCCGAATTAATCGTTGTGTTATCCGGTAAAAGCTCAAAAAAAAAAACGATTCCTTTAAAATCCCACCAAACACACAGCATCACCTTTTTTTGGTGAATATCGACTTTGGAAATAGTTTGAGCCGGTTCATCTTTTTTTCTCCATAACCTCTTGCGTTTGACGTTGTTATATACAACCCATTTTTCGTCCCCAATGATGATGCGCTTCAAAAACGGATCATTTTCGTGACGTTTGAGATGCGAATCGCAGACATCAATGCGGCGACACAGATTTCTCTCTGTGAGAACATGGGGAACCCATACATCGAGTGATCATAAACTGTTGAATTTGATAAATTTAACCGCAATCCGATCTCACGTGTTGTTATTCGCCGGTTCACATCAACTAATGCCTTTATCGCGTCTTTATCAGCTTCAACCGGCCTTCCCGAACGTGGTGCATCTTCGACATCAAAATTGCCGGATCGAAATTTAGCGAACCAGTTCTGGCACTGGCGTACTGTCAACACACCTTCTCCATACACATCAGTCAATTTCTTTCTGGCTTGAACAGCATTTTTACCCTTTCTGTAGTAAAACCAAAAACTACTGCGTAGAATTAATTGGAATTTTTCACACACAAGCCTTGCTATATGAGCTCTCAAAGCATATAAAAATTATACGGCTTAAATGTGAAGTTGGGTGCAAAAGAATACAATTAAATCCTCTGTCGGGGAAAAACGAAATGACTTTCCGAACAACCCTATATTACTAGTCATTACGTACAATTGACTTGTCTACGCATCAACTGTTAGGTATGTGTGCTTCATCGAAAGCCGATAAGATAACGCGGTAACTGTTCTCAATCATTGGCGGCTCGTTAACTGGGGGACCTTTTGTGCATACATTTTACATCCCCTACGTTGTGATGCTATGACGAGATGCACTCTACAGTGCCTCTAAATGTTACCCTTTAAATATTCCGAAATACTGATCAGACATAGTGTATACTATCCGGGAGAGACAGGATAAAACTGTAATTCCGACAGAGCATATAATATTTTTGCAGCCGAAGTCAAAATACATTCAATCGCCTAAAAACAGGATAAAAAAAGTATCCTGGCAATCAAGCAATCTCTCCAAAAAAATCACCGATTTCATTGCGAAGTGTCTGTCAAAGTGACAGAGTTGACGTTTCGTACATCTATTTAAAAAGACACACCGGCTGCAATTTGACGCATCTTTACGTGGATATTCGGGCGTTAATCATTTAATTAGTATCGATCGTCACCTCTCTCTCGTTCAGGTGTTGGACCGGACGCCCACCCCGGCGCCCCGTCGCGCCGAAGAGATCGCGACGGCGACGATGACGACGCTTGCAATTCGACACTTGAATTAATGCCCAGCTTCAAGTTTCAATTAACTCAAACATCGGTAGCTGCTTAATTACTTTATTCTGCATGAACTTACGAACGCTTAACGAGAAATACTTGAGCAGTTTTTTGAACAGTGCCTGACGGTGAACACACAGACTCGCGCTCCGCTCATCAGCCAAATTCGTTTTGTTCCTTGCGGAAGGACGATTTCTAATCAACAACGTATAAAAATTAATTAACGTAACATGGAGCACCTGGTGACCTCTTTATCAGACGAAATGGATTAAGGACAATTTAATAAACTATAATAATATGGGTTGACGAGTTTGACTCGCTTGACAGAAACTTTAATAGAATGGTAAGACTTCCGTATCACTGCTTTTTCGAAAATGTAACTTTTGCTTGTTGGAAATGACCTAATCATGCAAACCTTACTTGAAATAATCGGGGGGAATGTGTTTTGAGTAGTTTTTATTGAACACATTTAGATTACACTTAACAGTTCATTTTGGTTGTTGCCATTAACGGTTAAACTCCTGTAGTACTATACTTCGTTTACTTTCTGTAGCGATGTGACCTTCAGTTTGACCGGCGCAAAGTAGAAAAGAACAGCACTAGGCCTGAAAAGGAAAGAGACAACTCTCGGCCAAACTCTTAACCGGTGAGGAGCGCATAATCGGTACAGTACTGCAAGGAAAAATTGACCATTTTATCTTTTACAATTGTATTGCTCAAATGTGCTGTTATTGGTACCATTTACTACTGAAAATATCAACGAGATGTTTATTTATATTTGAAGATATATTAAAGGTTTTAACGCTTGTTTTCGACTCGCACTACTATTCATGATTGAACAAAACTTTTGGCAGGTACTGTATGAAAAAGTATGTTTAATGAACAAGAGTCAAGAGTATAAAGAGCTTTCTTCTCCCTACCTACGATTTTGCAAGCGCGCATCCGAGACATTGGAAGGGGCACATCGCAAGAGAAAGTACATGACATATAGGTACTTTTGGTTGAAAAAAATCAAAAATCTTTATTTTCAATAAAAATACTCAAAACACCTTTCCCCTGATTATTTCATGTAAGGCTTTTATGATTAGGTCTTTTCCAACAAGAAAAAGTTACATTTTCGAAAAAGCCGTGATACGGAATACCGAACCGCGCAACTATGTGCCCCTCATAGAATCCAACAAGTTTTGAAGGGGTCATTTTTCGATTTCTAAGGCCCGCATATCAAAAAAACATTTTAAACCATATTTGGACGTATTTTTGCCATATAAACTGCTTTTGCATGAAAAAAAAATAGCGGTTAAAAAAACAATGTTGTGTATCTAAGGGCTCATTTATAGGACCCTGATGAGGACGCGGTGCCCGACGACAGACTCAGAGAACGTTTGTGAAGGTAGATTTTAGAAAATTTTCGACTTTCTTATATATTGTATATCTTCTAACTAATACTATAAATGCGAATGTGTTTGTTTATTTATTACTATTTCTACTACAACTCAACCGATTGTCATTAAATATTGTAAACACATTATTAGGGGCACACAAAAGGACATAGGATACCTTTTATCCAGAAAAGGAAAACTGTTCCCGAGGGATAGAAAAACAAGTTTTATATGGTCGTCGATGATTCTCGACACCCATGTAGGACATCAAAAAAATAAAATACATTTTGGCGGCCACCTGCATTATGAAAAATAATAAATTACTCCCAAATACTTCACCTCATTTTAATATTTACTCCTGCATATAAAGATCTTGAATATTACCATAATAGCTTAATTTAGAAACATGCAATTCTGCTCATAAACTGTCATTTAAATTTCAACGTTATTTTAGAATGTATAATTGATATAGCTTGCTTTTTATAGAAACTCTAAAATTCCGAGGCTGTAATCAACGTGTTCGTCTGAAATACTTCCTGTGCACGCACGGGGAATACCACAACTATTTCTTGTAAACGGTGGTTTATGCCAGACAGAATAGGAGAAGAGGTTTGAAAATAGAATTTAAAAATTGAGATACAAAAATAAATTTACATTATATTTAGAACAGATGTTCAATCTGACTCATGAAAGAAATGTAGTTTTAGTAAATATAAAGAAAACTGGAACCTTTAGCGGTCTTGTATTTTGGCGTTAGGGTTTGAGCAATTTAGTGTGTTATTTTGTATTTGCAACAATCTTTTGAGAAATCAATTTTAACTCACTTAGAGGATGATTTATTATCCATCGGTCGGTTCTTGCTTGCGGGCAGACCTAAGAGCCACCTAGAATCAATTTATTTGTTACAGTTAAAACCAGTTTTTAGATAGAACGCGTTTTCCCTAGTTAGAACTATAGAAGTTTTTACTAAATATCTTTGTAAAACTAGAAATACCTAGTCAAAATTAGAATTTACCGCTAACATATTTGATTTTTAGATAAAAGTAGTTGTCACTCGAAGTTTTCGATTAAACTAGCATTAGAGAAACTAATTTCCGATTGAAAACAAGATATAGTTTTAACAATATTTATTAAAAAGATCAAGGACACAATAGTCATATACCTAGTATAAATAATAATCATACACTAAAGGAACATTTTAGGGAACATCGACATAATGTAATTGCCAAAGTGACAATATTAATTCAAGGTAAATAAAATAAACAAGTCAACAGAACACAACCATAAAATTTAAAAAAGGAACATTACTGAGGAATATTTTTATGATGAACTTTAACTTCAGTCGGAACAGTTTTAACTGACTCGCGTCAGAAAAACGCGTTTTGTCTAGTAAGAACTAGTTTTAACTGATATTAAATTTTGAGCATTAGTTAATTCTAGTTTAAACAAAGGCATTTAGTAAAAACTAGTTCTAAGTAGGGAAAACGCGTTCTATCTAAAAACTGGTTTTAATATTGATTATCACGTACATGTTAGTACGTAACAATACATAAATGCATGTATGTGTATTGTATATGTGTTAGGATTTTTCGAAAACGGCTTGAATAATTTTAACAAAATCGACAGGACAAAGCTCGTTTAGTTATCGTATAAACTATTCTCATACTTAAGGAAAAAAAATAAAGTATGTACTAGAGTTCCTGATGGTTTTTGCAAAGAATTCTGCAAACAACATTTGCGCAACTTTTGAAGAACATGAAAAACTTTTTTCAAGTTTTGGCCGCCTTTAAAGTGTTGTATGTTGCATATACAAGAGAACTACATTATTGTTTAGGAATAAATTGAAAAATAGGGTTGAAAGGAATCGACCTACGAATTTAAGAAAATATTTTTCTTTTCATTTAATCAATTTGATTAACTGGAACTTTCGGATATTAAAACGCTGATTTTTCTTTATATAAGTGTACACATACAATTGATATTTTTAAAATGTTTGTACTTGTTATTCAGCCTTCATACTTGGCATTGTTAACATTACACTTATCGCTCTTGAAAAAGGTACGTGATATAGATGTTATCGTCTCACCTGTGTCACTGACTTGTCCGTAGATACCAGAATTTTTTACATATAATTAAAAAAGTGTATGCAAAATCCTAAGATTTATTTGGATTTCGTGGATCGTACAAAAAACGTTTGCTTTACTATTTATAAAAGAAAAAAAAATTGAGAAGAGAGATAGTAGCCAAGAACAATAATGTTATAATCAATTTCATAAAATACAGTAGGTATTTCTTTTAAATCGATAAGGTAGGTACACCTGTAACATCAAGTTTTTCATAATTACAGGGATCACATTTAAAATTAATCACACCTCAGAACACTAATCAAAAAGACAGTAACTATAGCGGTGTTTTAGAGCACACCAAATAGCTCAAACATATTATTTATTATACTGCGTGCAAAAGAGCGGATTTTGGTATTTGAATTATAAGAAATAATTAGAAACGGAAAATCAACATAAGATTATGTTAATTTTCTCATGGTTTACCTTATAAAACAAAATCAAACATTTGTTGTATTTTCTTTTCTTAATTGGCAATTAACAAATATAAAATATCTTCTAACAAAACCCTGTGAAGAATTTAATCGTTAAAAGAATACCTTAATTTTTATCCAAAAAATGAAATCACATTTAAAATGTTCGTCCAAGTAAGCAACTGATAAAATTGCACGAAATTAAAAAAAAAACTAACAGTGTTACAAAAATGTTTTGAGACTAACAAAGGTATTTCCTTAAAAATCAATTATTTTCTGGTAGAATAATTTTAAGTTCAATTTCAACAAACAAATTAATAAAATGATCAATTTGTTACGTTATGATCTCTTTAAACAATATCCAGCTGCGACTATTCGTATAATCATTGACGTAATGATTTCTCCAATTAACAAATACTTTTAAGCATTCTTCATTGTGGATTGCTTAGTTTTTTTTAAAGAATAACTCACTAAGAGCTGCTCTCAACCAAAAAATTAAAATGTTTTCCTTCATTAGCTCCAAAATCAATTAGCATGAAACAATCAATAGGAAGTAAAACTCATTGCCAATGTAGGAATGAATCACTAAGCGTTACTTTTTAAGCGCAATTGTTTCTAAATGTACCTAGGAACACTAGTGTATTAGAACTGATTCGCAAATTGAACAGAGTAATAACAGTAAATTATTCATGTGCCTACGCAATACAATTTAGATTTTAGAATATAGGTACTACGGATATAACGCACCGATCAAACACGCTTGTTACATTTCAAATTAAAATAAAATTAGAATAAGAAAGTTAGCTGTAGGCTACACTTTTTGTAGATAAAATTACATGCAATATTACACACGTCCGCCCACTTTATTATTTTTATTTTTACGAATACACCTAAACATAAACCGAAAAAGTGTTAAATATTACAGTAAAATAGAAAAAAGGAATACTAAATAAAGTAGCACCCTTGCCCGAACGAGTTTTAGGTGAAAAGGAAAACTACATGAGCTTAGCTGGCTGACCCACTTTTTCTTCTTTAGCTAAGTTATCACGGATGCTGGGAATAATTTAATTTCCTAAACCTATCAAAAAAGAATATCTGCGTACCTACAATTCTAACAATTCATTTTTAACAAAAGCAACATACACTACTGAAAAACAACAACATAATAAAACTAAAAATTCTTTGAAAACTACAACTCCAAAAATAATAAACAAGTCAATCAAACATTTAATTTTTTTACTTAATATTTACCAACACTACATATCCACATCAAACAGGTAGGTATTTTTACATTTTTGCTAGTTATGGAAAATATAAATAAATCTTTATTTTAATGCGTATTTTTTGTTTTATTTAACTTTACAACAAAAAAGCCGTAACTTGTAATTGCGATTACTTCGAGGTTACAGAATACTGACAAAAAGCACCTCGCGTTTACATAAATGCTTTGAATGATAATATAAAAAACAACAAACGTGCCAAAAGTCCCAAACATATTAATTGATAACAGGTATAGGTACATGCATGTATACTCATGAATGTGTTATAAAGAAAGTGAGAACCCACCTTGCAAGAGGGCCACTCCTTTTAGCCCTTTGTCCCAGGATTTTTTCCACAACAGCTACATTCCCGTTTCGAGCTGCTTCCAACAGCTCCTGGTCCTTTCCCATTTTCCATTAACACTTTTTTTCACTAACCGTCCAGTGAACCATAATAGATAGTGTCGGCATTTCACGCACACGTATTACACTTCATTGATCGACCGTCGCCATATTCAAACAACCAGTTCCTACTAACTACTGAACTCAGCTCGTATAGAGAACGCAGTAGCAGAGAGAAATTTCAAACGTTTATTGAGTAATCAAATTTTCCTCTTTGGATATGTATTTTAATAGTTTATTTAAAACATAATACACGATTTGTCTGTTTTCAGACACATTGGTATAACTTCCTAATTAATTTCAACTAATTAATTCTTGTTTTAGTAATTAGTGATTACATACAATGGAAATATAATATTACCGCTGGTTTAAAAGTAAATATTTTATTATTATTTACTTTATTTGCTATTTTTCAACATAAACATCAAAAAATACTAAATGTAGCGTACAATTACTGGTGCATAATGTTGCACATTGTTTTATGTACTGCTGATCAAAGATGAGCAAAGTTTTGGAAATTTTTTAATATTCGAACGTGAAAAAAATTGGAAAGATATTTTCTTTTTTCCGGGATTTATTCAAAGTACAAAAGTGATTATCTATATCTATTAAGTTCAATAGTAAAAGAGGAAAACTGATTTACCGGCTCCCTCTGCGCCTGCCTATTCAGCAGACAGCTGTTCAGTGAAGTTGTGATGAAGTTTTGTTGTTGAATTTCTAAATTGCCCATTATTTTTGTTAATGAAATATTTGCAAACTAATTTTATGTGGTAATATAATGTTTAAGAAATCAAAAATCCAGTTTTATTCATGTTTTTGCGTTTTGTCTTTATTTTCTGTTATTAACGGTCAAGGTAAGAAGAAACTTCAATATGAATTTACAATGTGGCAAATCTTGTCTCACACTTTTGGTAAAATAAAATGCATGTGCATGTGACAAAAATCGAATGATTATAAATAAATTGTATTAGCCTATAAGCAGGTGTACAAAATTAATTGAATTTTATGTATCCACCAGTGCGTCATAATTTCTTTATTTTGATATATTAATATTTTTTAGTTGTTTTTGATGCGGCGAATTGTAGCGAAGCTAATTTAAGTAATTTCACTAATTATCAGTATGTTAATGTAACAAACGCTGAAGTTGTAATAATAGTGAAAAATATACCATCTGCTTCAACGTTTTTTGTGATTCAAGCTCATAGTTTTTTGAATGATATTATATTAAGCAATAATTCTGTTCCCGAACTACATTTTTACAATGAGGGAACAAATGTTGGGCTAGTCCAGGTTACTTTAGGTAAAAGTAACTTCACCTTTTATTTATTAAACGCCAATAAGAATACAACTGCAAATGTGCTTATTGCAGTTACATTATACGCAGAAAAAGGTAAGTACTTACAGTTTTAAGTATGTAGCTGTATGTATTTATAGATTTCATATCCGTTCGGGGATTTCTGTATTGCTACATTTGTACCGCGTTGTTGCCAAATTGAGTTATTTTATAGCAATCGTTTACAAAATACTACTACTACTTACAACGGTAGTACCACAGCCGTCTCTAATACAAGCCATGCTGAGAAATTTGGCAACAGCGCATTGCTTCGATGTGAGAGTCCTATTCTGCGAGTCTTAGTTGTTATTACTACACGTAGTTTCACATGATTTTTAGACACTCATTACGATAAAAATTAATTGAATTATTAAATAACTAACTAAATAACATCACTGATAGTATGTGACATTATTTAAAATACACATGTAGGTATTAAGAATAAAATAGAAAAGACAAAAGATTAGGTGTAAACATTGTTAGGTACCTACATGAATTTCATCTCGATAATTGTAATTTTATTAAAGCAAATTTCCACACCACAATTGAAGTATTGCCAAGGCGCGTTAGCTTTTTTTGGGGTTCACCAATAGCCCTGCCATCCCATTAGAAAAAACTAATTACAATTTCTAATTTACGGATTTTTGCTGTCTTACAGTTAGCTGAATTTGAATTGGAGTGGCGGGACTCTTGCTTTCTATAATTTATAATTTTAACGTAATCATTAAGCAAAACATTAGCAAAAGAAGATAAAATTTGGAAGAATATATCTTTATAGTGTTTTCCAAAACTAAATATTTTTGAAAATAGTTAATTTTCCTAAAATTGATTTTTGGAGTTCAGCCCGTAAATATTGTGTCTGCAGATATTCGTTATTACTTATTTCTTCAAGAATGGCATAAAAGTGAAAAAAAAATATACTAATATTATCAGTAGGAACAGAAAGTCCTCCCCTTTGTAAATAATCAAAATAAATATCTCCAACGCAAGAGCCTTTATTGTTTATTATGAGCGAAACACAATTGTTGCAAGTTATCTTTTTACGAGCAGAATGAACTGCATATCCTGAAATGCAAATTTTTAAGGAGTCATCTAAATCACAATTCATTAAAAAATCGGAATTTAAAATTTCAATAAACTGACTTATGTTTAAGGGAGACTCTTCAACAATTTAAATTCCTGTTTCATTATTCTCTGGTAATTTAGGATATGTTAAAAGCACACTCAAAACATTACCGGCAGTGGATACTTTTTTTTACTGTTTTTATAATGTCACTTTCGTTAAAGTGATGTATGTAAACTCCAGAATATTTTCATGGAGTCCAATCTTTGCGAGGTATAGTACTTATGCATTTTTTTCGCATTTCATCATTTTTTTGGGAATAAAAATATAGACATACTTGTACTTACATTTTAAAGATGATTTATAATTTGAATTGCAACTGGGAACACAACGACGAGAGGCATTTTGTTAAGAAATAAACCAGAAAATTTACAACCAAAACACACAATCTGACCTAAAACATTTTCACTTCTTTCACATAATAGTTAATATTGCCTTCTGCAATTAAAAACTGTATCCAAAGGTATTAATCACTATAACACACTATAATCATCCTTATTGCACATTTACTGCACGATATTTCCGCTAAAATTAAAATATTATAGAACAACGAAAAAACACAACAACTAAAGTATTAGTTGTAACTCTCATTAACCGGGAAATCCTGGGACTCCACAGTGTTGCCAAGTAAACCTTCAGCATGGCTTGTAAGTAGAGACGGCTGTGGGTAGTACATACAGGGTGATCTAAAAATAAGTTTAATCGAAAAATTTTTCAAACAAAACTTGAAATGCATTAGCTGGAAATATTGCTCCTTAATTAAAAAGCGGTGCATTAACAGATTTTTATGTTTCAAATGCTGAAAATATCGTGAAATAGAAAGGATGAGGACCTCATAGCGTTAAATAATTGTCTGCAGTTGAATCTTTTTAATTAATGCTAATTGTAAACATATGATCCTATCCTATTCCGTAATACATTAAATATTAAGAAGAAAATTAGTAGTAAATTAACAAACGTAAATTAATAGTAAGTTAAATGCCTGCCTATATGAATCCGAGCATTCATACCACTGATGTTTTTAAAAAAAATTCTATAAACCGAGATGATCGGACGTATAATAGTAATACGCTCTCCAAATTAGGACAAATCCGGGGAAACCCGGACCTAGATAGAGCGTATCGATACTGATGGTACCCATTCATATACGTTATAACTTTTACTAGCTTCATAATTGTTTAATAGGAATCGAAAACTATTCTTATACACAGCTAAGAAATACCCACACTTCTGTTTGTATACCAGGCTTCCTTATATCTTGCAGACCCTATTCCAGGAGGATGCAATCTCGTATTTGATGTGGAAAATGCTCCTTATCAACTTATAAACTACAACAAGAATATGGTAGAAGTCAGTGTCCAAGCACCTTCAGTGTTTGGACGCACATGTGAAGAAAACATTTTCAGCTTGGAAATTTATCGGATATATTTGCCTGAGAAAGAAATCAGCTCCGAAAGTTATTTTAATGGAATAGAAAAGATGATTACAGTTGAAAGTATCCGAAAACACGGTTGGAGAGTAAATGTCATATTTTTATTTAGTTATAAATAGTTAACTACTTTTATCCCATTCATCAAATGAAAAATCGGAAACATTTTGACAGAGTTGACTTCGTAAAATAGAAAAGAAATTGCTTATAAGTAATTGTCTTTAAATCTATTAGTGGTCAATGGTTTAACATTTGATTATTTATTACGTTATTAAGTGTAATACCGATAAAAAAGTCTGAAAGCATATTTTGACGATTTGTTACTGTTTTGTAAATACAGTAAAAGTTCTTTATTCGCGTTTTCATTATTGGCGGGTGAAAAAATTGCAACGCAATTCCTGTATTCGCGGTTAAAAATTTAATTATTCGCGGTTGCAATCGGTAAACAGAAAAGGATTCGGTGTCATTTATTACGGGGATTGACCGCAATGGACCGCTCATGCCTAGTGTGAGTTTTTCTGCAAACATGGGTTTCTATTCTAAACATTGTGATTTAACGCAGCGAGATAAATACCTAATTTTTTGTATGGTAACAGACAACGGTTCACACTAACTCGGTACGTTTTTGGTTTTCGATAATATGGTTATTAAAAGCTTTTACGAGTGCTTAAAGTTGATGCTTCTTGTAGGGCACGTATTTTCAATAGAAATTAAAAAATTAAAAAAAGGCCTTCGACAGGCTTTAGAACAAAGCTTTATCTATCTTACTACAAAGTTTCAAACGGCTGTTCCAAATATTAAACTCATGATATCTAGAACCGATAAGCATGTTTTTTCTCCACGGCGCGTGTACTATTGAATCCCCTTAATGCGTTCTGAGTATGTATAGTTGGTACGTGCCGAAGCGGCTTTTATAAAAAATTTAACCGAGTAGAGTGGGGTGTTATTTTTCAACGTATCCGCATCTTTTGAGTACGATTGGCTCGTGCCGAGGCGACTTTTATAAAAGATGAAACCGAGTGGACTAATTTCAAAATTCAAAACAAGAAGAAATCACTAAATTTTTTAAACTCTTGCCTAAAGCTGATTATAACAATTAATTTTGATTGCGAATTTATCAATACATTGATTTTATTTTGATACATATAGGTTTTATTTTGGAACCCTAGAACGTATCCCCTATGATTCCATACTAATTACCATTCCATAACCATGGTTTCTGTATTCGCGGCATATTTATGGAACGTATACCCCGCGAATAAAAAGCTTTTACTGTTTTTAGATTTTCTTAAGATATAAAGTACAGGAGGTACCATTTCAGGTTATTGAAGATGTTTAAAATTAAGGGCTAGAAACGTAGAAAAGAGCATGGGAGGGTCTTTATGGTTTAATAGGTATGCTAGTTGTTATTAAACTCACAAAGTGCTATTAAATTAAGTGATGCGTTTTTACGAGCCGATCGAAATTGTCCTCTTTTTATTTTTTCAAAATAACTTGATAGCAGAGTAAAATTAAGATTTTTACAACAGTAGGTATATTTTTGTTTAAAAAACTACATTTTCGATCAAAAGCGTTTTCTAAGAATGTTTTTCATTTCAAAGTAATCTAAAAACAGCGAAAAATCAGAAAAAAAGTTATTGACGAACTACTGAAAAAAACAGTCAAAAACGTAATTCTTAATAAATTTTTAGATTGTTTTGGATTACTTTTAGTACTAAAAATGTATAAAAGGCGATTTGGACATTAGATAGCAATTACCATCAATAGATAGTGTGCTCTGTCGAGAATGTAAATTTTATCTTCAGCAGGACGGCGTGGTGTTTTAATTGATAAGTGAAGAAGAATTCTAGCCAATAAAATTTTTTTTAAATTGAAGATAGTTAATGGTTTATCTTCATCTTGACATTCGGCTAGATATTTTTGAGTCCTCCTCGCAGAATTGACAACCAGTTGTCTGCTAGACACAATTGTTTTCATATGAAGCATTTTTTTGATACAAGTCCGTCTAAACAGGTGAAGGTACTATAAGTACGTTTATTTCATTATTATTATTATTATTCATGTTTTACACTACATATAATTATATTTCTGAATAGATCCCGGGCTTCCGAGGCTTCTAAGCCCACCACTGAGCCCGTTTATTGCATTAAGATAATAGGTAGATATTATTCAAAAATCTTATTTTTTTAACAATAAAAAATTCATATTTCTCAGGTGTCTACCCCTCTCGCTCTTAGTCAGAATATTTCCAGAGCCCCCTTCCCATTTTTGTTTTTCTTCCTACTATGTCTACTTATTCCTTGATATCTTAAAAGGTACTTTAACATCTTCATTTCCTAAGTGTTACGTAACGTAATTTGGGGGGGGGGTCTCGTAAAACATTGTTTCTTTTTTTAAATGAAAAATTTTATTAAAACTACCAATTTGGCAATCTTTTTTGTTTACGTTTTAGGGGGAATCCCTCGATTGTATTGTACATCATTTAATGTTGTATTCGTTGTCAGTATTCGTTAGTGTTTAGGCAGAAGCACATTTCTGTAATCGGTGTTATTAAAGTGAGTTTATAGTGTTCATACTGTAATGTTCTCAAAAGAGGAAGATTTGTATCATCAGCTGTTCTTGGCCTATAAAGGCACTCATGCTGACTTGCCAACGCAACTGTTTCAAAAAATGCCAACGAAATTTGGAAACCGGCTAAAGAAAAACTAAAAAATAAAGAAAAGTTTGTAGAACATGTAAATGATGTTATACGATTTGCGCAACATAAGTTTTGGGTAAAAATGGTCGTTTGAGTGTTACGTAACGTTTAGAGAGGGAGAGGGGGGTACAGAAAAACGTTACGGCGCGTTGCAACGGGGGAAGGGACGGTCAAAAATCTTCAAAAATTACGTTATGTAATACTTGAACGCTCCCTTAGTGAATTGCACAGCACCGTCAATTCTAGTACCTGTTTTAATATCTCCTCATTTTGTATCCTTTTTTCATCATCCCCCCACAACATTATATCTCAAACGTTTTTAACTTTTTCAATCGTATCTTATAGAACTTCAGGAACTCAAAAAGTGGTAACAAACTGTTAAAACGTACTTCTAAGACTTACTTACTTGTAGGATTTTTCGGTAAAGGTCTAGATGATGGTGGGGTCGAAAGAGGAGGTCTCTCCCACAACTGTACCATAAAAAGTTCGTGGCGATCTCACCCCCTTAAAAAGTTATGGGTGTTAGATGATGGCCTGGGGGTTGAAAGAGGGTGGCCACCTGAGTAAACCCCATAAAAAGTTTGCGGCGGTCTCACCCCCATCAAAAGTTATGGGGGTTGAAAGTTGATTATTTTGACAATTTTCATACACTATAATTCAAATAAAATTCAATAAAAAAAATATTTTCAAGCGGGTGGAGGTGGGAGATCGAAAGAGGGTGCTCACTTGAACAAAACCCGATAGCCTAACCTAACCTATTGATAAATATATTTAAATAATGTTTTATATAACATTCTCAATATTAGTTTTACCTTTGAATATTGTTTAAGAATGACTATAGAAATATTTGCATGCCTAAAAACGTATAAAAATTGGCATATTTATTAACTTTTAACCCCCATAACTTTTTATGGAGGTGAGACCGCCACGAACTTTTTGTGGTAAAGTGGTGGGGGAGACCTCCCCATTCGATCCCCCCCCCATCCCCCATCATCTAGACCTTTACCGATTTTTCAATACTTTACTTGAATACGGAAAGTATTATGGTTTTCTCATTAGAAACTCCTCATCTTGAATGATTAATGGTTATAAAAAGTACTCAATTCAGCTTTAGAATATTTTTTGTCAAACTCAGAAAAGGCCAAAAACGCTCACTCAGTTTCTGTACAGAAAGTTTACCTCCTTCTTTTTATAAAAATATTTAGGAGTGTCTTAAAAATCGTAACGTTTCAATCAGCGCCTTCATTATGTCACTGTATGCTTAAGCTTGGCTGATTTCGTTGCTTGTAGATGCACAATAAAACAAATGGCCATAATAAACTTCGAGTTCTATACAGTGCCTATCCTGGTATTGGTTCTGTGTATGCCATGATCGCAGTGTATAAAACTGGTGAGGCTGCTTACGTACCAGCAGTCACATATGCTTGTGATGCAAAGAATAGGATGATGGATGATTGTGTTCAACCAGGTTACTACTATCTAAAATTTGTCTGCAACGTTTATTAATTTATATTTCTTTGGACTTTTAGCAACGCCATTTTGGAAAATGATTTGCGGAATTTCAATAGCATGGGGATTATTAATGTGTTTATTCGGTTTTATGTTTCCTTTCCTTGTTTCATATATCTTTACTGGATTTATTATTGGAGCACTTATTATGTATATCAGAAAAAAAGTTATTGACGAACTACTGAAAAAAACAGTCAAAAACGTAATTCTTAATAAATTTTTAGATTGTTTTGGATTACTTTTAGTACTAAAAATGTATAAAAGGCGATTTGGACATTAGATAGCAATTACCATCAATAGATAGTGTGCTCTGTCGAGAATGTAAATTTTATCTTCAGCAGGACGGCGTGGTGTTTTAATTGATAAGTGAAGAAGAATTCTAGCCAATAAAATTTTTTTTAAATTGAAGATAGTTAATGGTTTATCTTCATCTTGACATTCGGCTAGATATTTTTGAGTCCTCCTCGCAGAATTGACAACCAGTTGTCTGCTAGACACAATTGTTTTCATATGAAGCATTTTTTTGATACAAGTCCGTCTAAACAGGTGAAGGTACTATAAGTACGTTTATTTCATTATTATTATTATTATTCATGTTTTACACTACATATAATTATATTTCTGAATAGATCCCGGGCTTCCGAGGCTTCTAAGCCCACCACTGAGCCCGTTTATTGCATTAAGATAATAGGTAGATATTATTCAAAAATCTTATTTTTTTAACAATAAAAAATTCATATTTCTCAGGTGTCTACCCCTNACTGGTTGGACACGTACCTCCACTCTTTCCTATCCTGAGCTAAACTTCGCATTTCCCTAAAACTAGAACAGCCCACATCCTTAACTATTTGCGAAGAGTAATCTAATCTAGGCCTACCTCTACCCCTCCTAACTCCTGTTTCTGCCTCTAATATGTCTCTGACACTATATGACAGAAAATTTCAGTGGTTAAAAATTTCATTATTCACGGTTGCAATCGGTAAACAGAAAATGATTCGGTGTCATTTATTAAGGGGATTGACCGCAATAGACCGCTCGTGCCTAGTGTGATTTTTTCTGAAAACATGGGTTTCTCTTCTAAACATTGTGACTTAAGCGAGCGAGATAAATACCTAATTTTTTATATGGTAACAGACAACGGTTCACACTAACTCGGTACATTTTTGGTTTTTAATAATATGGTCATTAAAAGCTTTTACGAGTGCTCAAAGTTGATGCTTGTAGGACACGTATTTTTAGTAAAAACTAAAAAATTTAAAAATGGCCTTCGACAAGCTTTAGAACTGAGCTTTATCTATCTTACTACAAAATTTCAAACCTCTGTTCCAAATATTAAACTTGTTTTTACTTTACGGCGCGTGTAGGTACTACTGAATCCCCTTAATGTATCAGCATATGTTGAGTATGTACAGTTGGTACAAAATTCAAAACAAGAAGAAATCACTAAATTTTTTAAACTCTTGCCTATAGGTGATTATAACGATTAATTTTAATTGCGAATTTATTAATACCTTGATTTTATTTTGGAACCTTAGAACGTATGCCCTATGATTCCATACTAATTACCATTCCATATCCACGGTTTCTGTATTCGCGGCATATTTATGGAACGAACAAAGAGCTTTTACTGTAGTAGTTTAGTGGTCAGAGCATTGGTGCGTAAAGCCAAAGGTCCCGGGTTCAATTCGCGGCGAGGGTGTATAATAATTTCTCAAACACTTATGTGACGTCTGCATTTGATAAAAATTTCTTCTTCTTTATGAAAAAAGCGAAATTTTTATCTTATTATTGCTATGGCCATTAGTTAAATTGTAGTTGCTAAATTGCAGATAAGGTCTATGTAACAGCGACATCTATGTTATCGCATGTCATTATTTGGATGGCAGTATGGTATAAATGTCGTTCATTGCGTTCTGTTATTGAATTACTGCTGAACGGAATGCTGATTGCATCATTTTTTTTCCAAGTTTTTATAGGTAGGTAAACTATTGTAAGGATAAATAAATTTATTTTCGACGTTGCCAAACGACTTTGCCAAAATTAGTTTCGGTAGAATGCAATTAATAAATAATTTAATAGTCAAATTGAACTGAAGCCAAGAAAATTGGCAATTTATTTAAGTATCATTTTTATTTCTATTAATGCTAGAAAAAACTATCTCAGCCTAAGTCTCGCTTCACTCAAAGTTGACTACGTACATTCACCGCTTATTACAGGAATTACAAAGAGCGGAACTATATCATCGTATAGACAAATGAGGCATATACATCTAATTTGTAAATAAGATAGTTCACTTTTTTGTTGGGTAACTGTATAAAAAGCAAATAAACAAAAATATATTGCTTTTTATACTTTTAGTTTTCCACATTAATTTGTTTTGTTTTTGTATCTTTGTGTGTTCTGATTTTTGATGGAGAAGAGAAAATGTCTAGGATCACAAAGGCAAAAACGTATCTATAGCTAGCATGAAAAAGTCATATTTCGTATTTCTAAAATGCACCTTTAATGGCATTAATCGTTTTGATGTTCTGTTGTTCAAACGCTGAACATTGGAAAATCGGAATGAGATACTTCAGTTAATTTATCTACCTATGATGATTTACATTTTTCCGTAGGTGACTTCTTCATCTTTGAAAGCAATTTAAATTATTGGGTAGTTTTTTGGGCTATTGTCGTGGTTGTTGCAATACTTCAAGGTTTGTGTTGCCTGCTACAAGTAAAAACCACTAACAGTGTTCTGGGTGCCTTTACTACCATTTTAGCGATAGATTACTTTGCTGGATCTTACGTACGATATATCGTGATCAACACGATCAGGAGACTAACTGTCGACGATTTCAATCTAGCTATCATTAGTCCTCCTGCCCAGTTCCGAGGTGAGTTACTGATGAGTAGAAACAGTAAAACGTCATAAGCAATTGTGATGTACTATGTGTACTGGAATATTCTGAAAATGTACGTGTACAATTTTCTTAGAGTGAAAAGTCATTTTTCTATAGCATAGGCATATGTATCATGGAATTGTGTGACCATCTCGATGACTATTGGGATCCGTGAAATGGACATACACCATCTGGTGGCAAAATTTATAACTCGAATGAGGGAAAAATTTACATACGAACTGTGCACGCAAATTGTAAAATTGTTTATTAAAATAATAAAACACGTTAAAAAAGTAAAAAAATTTTTGTTGATGGAATCGACGAAGTTTTCTTCTAAAGTTAAATCAAATAAAAAGTTAATATGTTCAGTGAAAAGCTGCAATAGCACTTCAGACATAGATCTTCACTCTTCACCTACATTAACTACTTTCCAATAAAAACTAACCGTTTTATATATGTAAAAAATATATTCGGAAAATTAGAGAAAAAAGTAAACTAATAGAAGCTTGGATGAAAGCAGTAGGTATCAAAGAAGTGAATTCCGGAATAAAAATTTGTTCACGTCATTTTAATGCACATGATTATATTTCAGCAAGTATTTACCATCAGCCATAACCTTAATATTTAAAACTAGAATCATACTAAAATTATAAAGTGAGAAATTATTTATTCCTGTGTAATTGATTTAACACAATTCTAATGATACAATATAAGTATTTTGAGGTTAAGAACCTACCTGCTGCAATACAACATGATATTGCTTAAATCACCCAGAATCACCTCACCAATTATATAACGTAAATCACTTTTTAAATCAGAAGTTTGTAAAAAGTAGACAGTAAACTTGACGGAATTTGAAGGCTAGCTTCCGGATTTGTTATTTCCGAAATTTATAATGTGATTGGCATTAAAAACACGCTCACCTTCAACGAAATTTCCTTTCCGAGACTTTGTGTCAGTCCAATCACATATTGTGTCATATACTTATCATTTTATCGTAATTTAAAAACTTGGAAATTGCACGGTACACTATAGGAACTACGATAAATTTTCCCTAATCGGCGCCACGTTTTTAGGCTCCTCCCATTTGACGGATCCCAATAGTCCCTCCAATATTTTTAAACAAAATTTGAAAGTAGGTTTTTATTAATATACCTAAGGTTAGTTTAGGCTAAAAGTATTTACGTTCCAATACCTAAGAGAGTCAGATAACTCAAGATGGAAAGAGTGATGGAGATATAAAACAGAAGATAGCACGAGGTAGCGTCGCTTTTAAGAAAAAAAAATTCAGTTCTATACTCGCAAGCAGTTAATTTAAAAGTCAACAAGAAATGGGCGAGATAGGTTAGATTAGGTTAGGATAGGAGTTGTTCTCAATCAAGAATGGCTAGTTAGAGATATCGAAAACAGACGCAAGAATTAAGAAAGGTAAAAGTAGACCTAGATTAGATAACTGTTCACAAATAGTTAAAGATGTGGGATGTTCTTGTTTTAGGGAAATCCGAAAATTACTTTAGGATAAGAACGAGTGGACGTATTACCAACCAGTCTTAAGGCTGATGACCTTTAAATGATAATCTAAAATGTCCGGTAGGGAACATGAAACTTTTTGATTTTCATTTTGAAGACGTTTTGTTACCAAATGTGTTATAAAAGTATTATCAATAGTCTTCATCACTAGTTAGTAGGTATCAAAACGTACTTTATGGGTATGATGGTCAGCAAATATTCAGTTGCACATTCAGTGTTCGGCACTGAGAATACTGAAATGTCGGAAAATGAAGATCTCTTTTCGCAATGTCTGGAGAATCCGATTTAATGAGAAATCCCACATTATTTTTTTAGAATCATGCAAAATCTGACGATTTATCGGCATAAATAATAGAGACTGAATATTGAAAACTTAAATTCTAATGCAAGGTAATTGAAAGTAAAAAGTTTTAATTAATTAATTTAACTGACGATAGTTGAACGTGACAACGTCATAAGAAAATACTGATGGAATGGTTTCAGTTTTCAAAAGAAAATTTTAATTTTATTTATTCGATGGATATTTTGTATGGATATAGAGAAGGAGGTAAATGGAAATCACAATTGAATTGATCAACTTACATTTATTTGTACGCATAAATACAATTATGTCAATTTTTATTTATTTTTTTTCCAATGTACATAGTTTTTACAAGTATGAATGTGCTTTGAGCAATTGTTTTACAACTTTTATTTACAACTTTTAAACATAATTAAAATTTTTGTCTCTAGCTTCAATTCGACAATATATCACTGAACATATATTTAATATCGAAAGAATGATTACCTTTATCGCCGCAATTATCGTTGCTATAAACAATTGATACCAAATTAACTTTTCACTGCACTTCATATTTGACGAAAACATGTAAATGTATTATTGTATAGCAGTTGTCCACGCGGACGCATCGCTCACTCAAGTAGAAGAGAGACAGATGTCGAACGCTGCCGAACGCGGAGACCGATTGTGCCTTTTTGTCGCTCGTTCCGCGCTCTCGCTTGCACTTCAAGCCTTAAATGGAACGCCTCAGAGAGAGGTAACGCCGCATGAGTCATGTTTTTTCTTGCGTGCAGCCGGCTCCATCGAATTATAAGACGTTGTCACGTCAAAATATTTTGAGAAAAGTCCATTATTCAGGTTTCAATAGTTTGGATAACATAAAAACATAGTTTCCATAATCACTATATTGTGTTTTGGCCCCCCTAGCGGCTATCCTATAATTCCTTTGACCAATAAACTGACCTTACATTAATGTAAATCTGTCCTGAAGGTTTGGTTAAAAGGTCACACATTCATGATACGTGTAATATCCTATGGAAAAATAACCTTTACCAATTTTATACAAAATTGTCGCATCGATTTTCAACATATTCGTACCTAGTAGGTACGTTGCTTATGACGTTTTATCCGTTTTACATTTGTATATTTTTTATTATTTAATCAATTATTATTAATAGATACAACCTTTTGTTTTGATGCAAAAAATTTGTCAGGAGCGAATTTATTTGTCGATAAAAATTACTGTCTGTGTTAATAATACTAAATGTAGAGATTATTTTTTACAATTAATTCCTGAAAAGTGCCTTTTAAAATAATCACCGTGGTTTTATCAGCTATGTATGTTTACTCCTATTTCGATGACAGAGTTAGTTATTTTAAAGAGAAAAATATACCAGGTGTTCAGAAAAACATTTGCAATCAAAATGATTCACTAAGTTTTTTGTTTTGTCTTTGTCCGTACAACCATTTCTTGTTATCTAATTTTTTTTTAATTATATGACCTAATTACGTAATCAAACTATGGCTTACCCCTCAGACTTTAATCAAATAACATGTGCTCTCTCAAGTACACAATCATAAAAATAATTATTATTGTTTTGTATTATCGAGGGATTATTATTTACGTTTACTTAAAATTAGGTACGTGACGGAAATTAAAATAATTCAAAATTCCATTCACATTAATTTCTCCATTTTTTTCCTAAAAATCCATTAAACCACCGTAACTTTAATAACATACAGTACAACCTCGATAATCTGAACTAATTATTACAAAGGAGTATTGGTATTATCACTTTGTTCAGATTATAAAAAAGCAGTTATCTGTCCATTAGATACAGATACTTTTATATAAACTTAATTTTTTAAACAAATCTGAAACAGTTGTAAGATGTAACCGTAGCTTCGGACTCTAAACTTTTGATAATATCAATTTTTTTCTATATTGATAATGTAATATATATGCACTTCGTGGCTGTTAAGGTAATCGTTTCATAAGACGGACGAATTATAACATTTCGCATGTCTCCAGCAGCCGCCTTTCGAGCGAGGTGACGTTGCACGCCTGCGCAGTTCTAACTTGTTTGGACTATTATAGTGTCCGACCGAAACTGGTTTTTACGACCGAAACCGAAACCGAATTTCGGCAACGGTCTCAGTTTCGGCCGAAACCGAAACTAAACCGAAACTCGTTTTTTTGCCGAAACTCGACCGAGACCGAAACCGAACTTTCGGTCGGACACTTGACTATTAAGGTTTATTCGGATTATGTTTTCAGGTGTTCGTTGTTCGGATTAGCGGACGTTCGTATTAACATTTATTCGAATTATTGAGGTTGTACTGTATTTTAATAAAGAGAAGTATCAGCCTCGGGTACTATAACCTTAAATACAGAATGCTAAAATGTAAATATAATTCTTGTTTTAGACATATTGATGTACTTTTCTTGTTTGGTACTGTTGGTATGTAGTGCCATTTTCAATATGTGTGTAGGCATGGGATCGGCTGGCTTATCTGATACAACTCCGCTGCTTGATTAAGGATCTGCTTCTTTTTTTATATAAAATTTTGCTATATATCTATATGACAATAAAAACATGTATTTTTTTAATCTTTCGTAAAATCAATAAATATGTAATAACAAAAAGTATAAGTGTAACTTTTTAATAAACAACCATTCGATAAACAAAATATGCGTGGAAATTTGTAGCTAAACAAATGATGGCTACTGCCGAAGTGTCGCAGTTGAAACCATTGTAATAGTTATAATCTGTTAAATATTAAAAAGTCATTCGAAAACGAATGTTTATCTCGCGTTAAACAGTGTTACGCTTATTCCACAGATGTGTGAACTCGAAATACAGGACAAATATATTTACCTATACAGGTAAGGCAAAACGAATATAGAAATTACTCATTTCTTTGTCGACATCTTTCCTTTTTATTTTATTTTTTTGTTCGTTTATCTATCGGGTTGTTCGGAAAGTCATTTCGTTTTTTCCCGACAGAGGATTTAATTGTATTCTTTTGCACCCAACTTCACATTTAAGCCGTATAATTTTTATATGCTTTGAGAGCTCATATAGCAAGGCTTGTGTGTGAAAAATTCCAATTAATTCTACGCAGTAGTTTTTGGTTGGTGCCCTTTTAAATATGGAGAGCGATAAGCAGCATTTTCGACATATCTTACTGTTTTACTACAGAAAGGGTAAAAATGCTGTTCAAGCCAGAAAGAAATTGACTGATGTGTATGGAGAAGGTGTGTTGACAGTACGCCAGTGCCAGAACTGGTTCGCTAAATTTCGATCCGGCAATTTTGATGTCGAAGATGCACCACGTTCGGGAAGGCCGGTTGAAGCTGATAAAGACGCGATAAAGGCATTAGTTGATGTGAACCGGCGAATAACAACACGTGAGATCGGATTGAGGTTAAATTTATCAAATTCAACAGTTTATGACCACTTGAAAGGCCTGGGATTATCCTCGAAGCTCGATGTATGGGTTCCCCATGTTCTCACAGAGAGAAATCTGTGTCGCCGCATTGACGTCTGCGATTCGCTTCTCAAACGTCACGAAAATGATCCGTTTTTGAAGCGCATCATCACTGGGGACGAAAAATGGGTTGTATACAACAACGTCAAACGCAAGAGGTCATGGAGCAAAAAAGATGAACCGGCTCAAACCATTTCCAAAGCCGATATTCACCAAAAAAAGGTGATGCTGTCTGTTTGGTGGGATTTTAAAGGAATCGTTTTTTTTGAGCTTTTACCGGATAACACAACGATTAATTCGGAAGTCTACTGTCATCAGCTGGACAAACTGAATGATGCACTTCAACAGAAAAGGTCAGAACTAATCAACAGGAAAGGTGTAGTGTTTCACCAAGACAACGCGAGACCTCACACAAGTTTGGTCACTCGCCAAAAGCTTTTACAGCTTGAATGGGATACAATGCTACACCCACCATATTCTCCAGACCTGGCACCATCGGATTATTATTTGTTCCGGTCACTCCAAAATTTTTTAGACGGTAAAACCTTCACCTCAAATGAGGAGGTCAAAAACCTCCTCGATCAGTTTTTTGCCAGCAAAGACCAAAAATTTTATGAGCGTGGAATTATGCTACTACCAGAAAGATGGCAAAAGGTCTTGGACCAGAACGGTCAATATATAATTTACTAAAGTATTTGTTTATTATATGAAAACTGTCTTTCATTTCCACAAACAAAAACGAAATGACTTTCCGAACAACCCTATACTTTTCTAAAAACTGCCTTGAATTAACCGAGGATTCATAATCTGTTGAACCAGGTACACAGAACTAGTTAAAATCGTTAGTAGTTCATTGTAGTGAAAATGGTTTAATGATTACTACAATAGTTTTATTCAACATTAAGTTATTTACATATATCCATGCATAAAAATTGATAAAAAAATGAAACTACCAACTAAATCTACAATTACCCTCTTCTATTTACTCCTTATAAATATACTCACTTCTTCCCCATATATTTTTTTTTCACCTAAATTCCTTCCGCCTCCTCTAATATTATCTCCTCTTCCTTAAAATCTTCGAATGGCGCAGTCCACCTCCATCCTCACTCACCAACTCATAGCTTTCTTCTCACGCTCCAACATTCTCACATCCTCCTAACATATGCTTCAAGCATTCTTCCTTCGTTTGATATATCCTACATCTTCCCTCTTCCTTTTTCCAAAAATAACATCTTCTACACTTATTGCGTCCCCCTTTCCAAGTACTTTGGTACCCAGTCTCCCTCCTAGTCCCTTCACACATTCCTTTAATACACAGCACATATTCAGACCTCTCTATTTTTCTTAAATCGTCTCTTATTATTATTTCGCTACATCTATTCCTCACCAATTCGTCTACTCTAGTTCCTTCCTTAAGTCACTCCTGCATCTGCTCCTGTTTCATTTTTAAAAATTTCAAAGCTCTTCCTTTCTCTAACATGTTTACTTTTTACCCCTATTACTTTCCATTACCTTCCCTCTCCCTATTTCCTTTCTTCTATCCCCTTTTTCTAGACTCCCCAATCTCTCTTCATATTTTTATTGCTTTCTCCCACATCTTCCCACTTTCCGTCTCCCTTTTTATTACGTAACCTGGCGTCCAATTTTAATACCCACTTTAAATATCTTTTCTGTAGCAATTCTACCTGCTTCTGTCCCCATTCCCATATTTCCACCCCATAAAACATTATGCTCGTCACCATCACCTTAAATAACATCATTCTCTTACCAAATCTTCCTTATACATTTTCTGCCTCGATTCCCAAAATTGTCCTCCCTTTTGCTACTTGATTTATAATATGCGTCTCATCCCTATTATTCTCACTTAACACATATCCCTGGCGAACATACTTTCTCTTTTTATATCTCTACTCCTTTTCATACTATTTTTATAAACAGTATAGTATGTTTCATTCTCATTAGCTACTGCGCGAGAGTTCCAAGTTCACGCACGTGCACTCTCTTACTTCCCATGTGCTACTAATGAATTATTTTTGTGTTTATACTATCAAGATAATTTCCAATTTATCTAAGACGTAATAAATGACTGGGTTGTGAAACGGTGTCGCAGTGTTGTGTTGTAAACGTGTGTCAAATGTGTTTTGGAACTGTTACTGTAGAAGTTTATCTAAAATTGCTATGACATTTTGCATTCGCGGTTTTTGTGTTCTTCAGTGAACCCTGTTCTATGTTACAATTGCATAATTTGTGGTGATCATTTGGTAATTATGTTGCATTACATACATATGTATATTTGCAATGTTCTCCATTTTGTAAATGTAGTGGAGTTGATTTCGAACTAAATAAAAACGAGCCAGAAGCGTCTTCATGATTAGGTAAGTGAGCATGCGTTTTTATATCTATAGTACTAACCATGGACGGTTTTTTACATCCGTATTTTTTTAAACTACATATGATATTTATTTCTTATACATTTTATTCTACATAATTAAACACGAACAATTCTGAGAAGAACTGGTTTGAATGCCGAAAATGATGTGGGTACAGTAAAATTTTTGAGAGATTGAGTTAACGTCATCGACAATCTGTACGAATCAATCCAACATTTAATAGCAATTATAGCATATCGCACTCTCATTTATAATATTAATGTTGGTTTCATAACTGTTAGGTACCATACTTATCGCGTTATTAGAATTATGCTAAAAGTTAATTGTAAAATAAGAACATAATAAATAAATAATAATACCTTAGGTACCATACTAATATTAACTCATAAACGCTCAATTCCAATGGTATCAAGTTCTTTTTCATTATTATTTCTACTTATTATTTTATAACAGATTTTTAGTTCAATATGTATTTCACTTAGGTACTGTAATTTTATCATCACAAGCAACAGAACTGTGTTCTATTTTGAAAAAATGACACGCTATATGTTTTATCATACTTGAGCAATTATATAACTTAATTGAAAGAAAAAAGAAGCACTTACCCTTAGTAGAAAACAACTAAAACCACTTTTCTAGCAAAAAATAAAAATTCCGAATGTCGTATGTGAACACATTTGTATGGTTGTGTAACATATTTTCCGAGGTGGTCATTGAAAAGGCAATATTGTATTATAATTTTAAGATTGCGTGGGCGTCATCATAATTTGTACAGAAGAGTCTGTACGATAGCAATTTCATCAATACAGACTGAAGTTAGCAACTGTACATAATATTAATGTGAAAATTCATTTTCAGTTTCTTACCCACTATAGACTACCTCAAGATAATGAGGAAAAATTATTTGATGTTGTAACACCCTCGCCGGGAACCGAACCCTGGACCTTAGTTCAACATATCTGTGACCTAATAAGTACATTGGTGCGTAAAGCCAAAGGTCCCGGGTTCGATTCCCGGCGAGGGTGTGACAACATCAAGGTACTTTATAGCGGTTAAGAAATTGAAAATGAATTTTCACATTAATATTTGATACCCATTAACCACTATTAAATGTGAAGTTCTCTCATACAACTTTCAATATTGAAAAGCGATTTTTTAACTCTGTACATAGAAGTAGGAATGATGATTAAAATAACTAACAGAAAATGTTCTATGCGTAGTTATAGTAAATTCAATGAACTTTAAATGTATAAGCGTATGTTGAATGCTGTTAAATGGCAGTTAGTTGTCAAAGCAGTGTTTCTAAGTTCACATTTTTTATCTTTTTCACGGCAGCGAAGTATAGTAAACGTAAGTCTAGTCTAACTTGATAAGTTTATGTCGTACATTCCACCTCATTTGCCTGTTGTGATATAAAGCCGTATAAAGGAAAGTGCGTGCCGTATGTCGATGAATAATTGGTCCACACGCAATCTTATCAAAATGTGATAATATATTAGAAGCTTTTAAGTCTCTGTTACACAGCGCGTATAAGGGGTTCGGTGCGGCTTGGAGCGAGAAAGCGCGTTGTTTAGATTCTATTCAGGGCGGCGGCAGATGCGTCAAATGCAGACGATGCTTGAGAAAGAACGTGCCAGGACGTTCCTTCACGTTCCAGGCAGCACCAATCCATTACACGCACCGGCTAATAGGTTGGGCATAGGCACTACACGTATCGCGTCTATTACCGCTCGCTATACGCGCCGTGTAGCATGGCCTTTACAGTTTGTTCAGATATAGACTGTATTTTTATATTAAAACGTACATGTTTTATTATCTATTTATTCGTACCACAGCTACGTTTCTACACATTAACAATATTGTACTATAATCCTAATGTAAAAGAAATACATACTTAGCTACTATAACAATCACAGCAATGATTATGTACAAATACATCCAGTATTAATAATGATGAATATATTAATACGAACAACAAATGAAATCCAAGCGTTGCAATAATAGTAGAAGTATTGCCTTTAATAAACGTGTGAATTGTTGTTAATATGAAGACCAACCTTGCACACCGAACTGTTCAATGCATGTTATGCATAAATCTTCAATATGATTGTATAGAATTATCATGCAGACCTTTTTGTATCAGTATACATCGAACAGCCTGCATCTATTTAAGAACGGGAGATCATATGCCATTTGGGTATAAATGAATCTAATGTCACTGTAGTTAAGATAGGTACATGGTATACGGATTATCATTATTTTCACATAAGTAAAATGATGAAAATTATTGCAGGTAATATACGAATTTTTTTAATTACTAACTCAAAGATTGTCTGGCAAAGTTAGGCTTCGTTTTAAATCAGTTATTGACTAAAGCTATAACATCATAATAAATAAACGTAGCGTTCAATTACTTATTGCTTTAATTCCATTTTATTTATTGCAGAAAATTTCAGATAATTGTTAAAGCAACAGGGCGTATTCCACTAAATACTTAAAGTGGAACGTACTTACGGGTATTTCGTCGGTATTATACAATTCTACAAAATCACATACACATTTAAATTACAGCAGATCATATTTACATCGTTTACATACATGTTAAAGGAGCGCATCTTCTGTCTCTAAATAGCAATAGAAAAATTGGTAAAATATCAAATTTGTCTCGTTCATAAAATTAGACGCGTTCAACTATTTTCAAATTAAATAGAAGTGCTGGATTCGTTCAGTTTCAATAAAACATACGCGAACATGTTAGAGGCAAGATGAGGCGAAACAGATGCTTTGACTGGGGATCTTTTTTTAAACAACACGACAGGGTAAATGTATGTACAAATACCGTCCATATCAAACCAAATTCTGTTTGAAATGGATGGAGTTCGAACAGTTTCGGAATTGTCTTCGCTCCACCTCGCCTTACCTCGAACGTGTTCGTGCTCAGATAATGTATACGCACCTTTACGCTGCTGTTCAATGAGAAGACAACCTCAGAAATATAAAATGTATATACAGCGTTGTAATATACTTATATAGCATTTTCAAAAAAAAAAAAAAAACAAAAAAACGAATACTTGCCATTACGGACAAGTAGGTGAATTATCCGTTAAACAAGTTTAAATTTGATATTTACCAGAAACATGCGCAGCTTTATTGTTTTTATTTACCGGGTAATTTATGTTGATTCTTCGGGATTTGAAACCGCCACTGAAGGGCCCTCGTAACTGGCGTTGTCCTGGGAAGGTACGAGAAACCTTGGTGGCGGAAACCCGAAAAGCTGAGATCACTGAATACGAGGCCAGTAATTGGTGGCCAGGTTCGAGGTGAGATCGGGACCCTGACTGGGAATCTGTACTGGCACCGAGACCCCGGCAGATATTACACCTGAAACAAACAGGAACATGTACATAAGGATGACTATGACGTTACCTTAGTAAAAGGGCATCATAATGTTTTTTCGAGGGCACAAGAGAGAAGTGCAAATGGGATAGCTATCACACTCCCTAGCTCATGACTTATAAATGAAATAAATACAAACTATATGAACTCTTCCCCTCGCTTCAGGTAACATATTAGCGACGCTCTTAACGCTTTTAGTAAAAAAATTGTTCATTGGCGTTCATTCGTTTTCAAAACGAAAGAGGTCGCCGACAAAAACTTTGAAAAACACTGGTTTAAGTGACTGAAAGTGTGCCATGGACGCGAACATGTACATGCGTGTGATCCTTACACGAACATACATACGTCCGTTAAAAATCTCTAAACATGGACTGTGGGCGGTGAAGCTAGATGCGTTCGAAATGTGGTATTACCGGCGAATGAAGAGGATACCGTGGATAGAAAAGGTTAGAAATGAAAAGGCAACGAATATAAAGATAGGAGAAAGAAAGAAATATTAGAAGAAGTGGCTGATTTTAGGTACCTAGGATGTCAGATAAGTCAAAACGGAAAGAGTAGTAGGGATAAAAAGCAGAGGATAGCGCAGGGTCGAATTGCTTCCAATAAAAAGAAGTCGCTTCTATGCTCGTTCGCGAACGATTCATTGAGAAATTCGAAAAATATTTATGTTTGGAGCGCGGCGCTGTACGGGTGCGAAACATGGACAGTGGGCGCGGCGGAAAAGAAAATGTTAGAAGCGTTCGAAATGTGGTGTTATAGGCAAATGATGAGGATAACGTGGATAGAAAAGGTAAGAAATGAAGAGGTATTAGAAAGAATAGGAGAACAAAGGACTCTATGAAAGTCAATAAGAAATAGGCGAGATAGGTTGGTAGGACACCTTCTCAGGTATGAAGGTCTAGCCAGAGACATATTAGAGGCAGAAACGGGAGTTAACGGGAGTATAGGTAGACCTAGATTAGATTACGGTTCGTAAATTGTTAAGGATGTGGGATGTTCTAGTTTTAGGGAAATGCAAAGACTATCTCAGAATAGGAAGGAGTAAAATCCTAGTACTAACGACCTTATGATGATGATGAAACAAAATTTTTCATCGTATGTTATACTGTGCACAGTTCCAGTATATAATTGATAACTTGAATGGGTTCGGTTAGGAATGGCAATATTATTATTTTTACATTTGTGTGTAGCATGATTAATATTTAATGTAAATAAAGTCGATTGGCACCTTTTATTATTTGAATGATGAAGTTAGGTGAAAATAAAAATGAAAAGAGTAATGTCTAAACGGCAACGTTTGCCAAAGAATTCGAATCAGTGTCGGGAGATCTAGAAACAAGAACGGAGTAGAAAACAAATGGAGAAGAGTTGATATGCTGCAGGAATAGCACCAGTCGCATCAACACAAGTAAACAAAAGGAATTCTAATAATTCCAGGAATGGGATTCGAACGTGGTTGTGTGATGATGGTTAAAGTGGCGCGGATTCACCGAGTGTCTCACCGCCACCAGCTGAGAAGATGGTAACCAACGAACCTTGCAACGTGAACAATACACAAGTCCCCACCCCCATTTAGTTCGCACATTATTGAACCGTTGCCGGCTGAGCAGAAATCGCAAACCAACCCCTCACGTTCCGTACAATACACCCCTCCTTTTCCCCCCTAGCAACCTCCCACCCCTCCCTCCCGTCTCTTCCGACAACCTGATCGCCGCGTTTCAAGTGCCGGTCGCCACTTTAAACGTATCCCGCACAATAAAATTTTCAGCCCTAGAGTAAGAATTGATTGGGTCGCGGTCGACGAGACTTTTATTTTTCCTGTTCAGTGTAATTTCCTCTGTTAAATAAGAAGCTGCAAAATATATGAGCGAATTTGTATTCTTTTAATTAATTCTTTAATGCACTGTTTTCGTGGATGGATTTTCCTTTTATAAATGCACTACATTCATTGGTTACCACAAATCATTAAATGAAATTATTGATATACACGCAGTGTATATGTTACCGGAAATGTATGAAATCTGGGAATTGTATACAATTCCGAGGCTATTAAGGAAACGTATAAAATATTGTTTCAAAGATTTTTTAATACAGTACATATATCCTGGGAAGTGTATAAGTACATTTCCTAGGAATTGTATAAAATTCCGATGTTGCACCAGAAAATGTATCAAACTAATGCTTTCTATGAATAAAATACACTAAGATATCAACCCGTCCCCGGCGGGCAGGGACAATAAATAAATTCCAATCTGTCATGAATCTACGTAACCAAATAATAACGTTGTCAACGCATAACGATTATATGCGAAGAAGTGCGTTTATGATCACATTTAAATTCATAAAACTATATGAAATCTCCAGGTGAGATATTTCCCATATTTTTTTTCATAAATCCGCCGTAAAAACAAACATTTTAAAAAAAAATTCATCGAAATCGGATGATTTTTCGATTTTCTAGATCCAAAAAACGAGGGAACCGTGAAAGTATAAAATTACCGAATTTTTAGTATGTTGTAGAGATGAATATGCTGATCATTTTGATATATATATATATTGGGTGCGGAAATAATAATAAAGCATAGTTATTGAACTAATATAGGTAATATACGGCAGGGTGCTTGAAGATGTATATGCATTGGTGACGTCATTGTTTGATTAGGTAGATTTATGACAGACTGGAGTATACTTGATGCTCCTGCCAGAGGCGGGCTGATATGTTAGAGTATTTTATTTACAGAAAGCATTAGTTTTATACATTTCCTAGTACAATATCGGAATTTTATACAATTCCTAGGAAAAGTATACATTTTCCAGGATATGTTTGTTTAAAAAATTGTTGAAACAATATTCTAAACATTTCCTAAAGAGCCTCGGAATTGTATATACCCGACTAGAATTTATAAGGGGCATGCCCCATGTAGCGTGGAGGCCTCATGTGGCAAACGAGGGGCATGCCGGTATAAGGATTGCCCCGTAGATTCCTCATAAAAACCCCACCAAAAAAAGTGGTAATACTAAAATGAGGATTGCCTTATGGGGTTTTCATATGGGCCTTAAGGGGCAAACCTCACATGTATAAACTTACACATTTTTACTTAAGAGCAAACAAATTTTACAAATAAGTGATGTATGTATATATTTCTCCAAATGAAGATATAAATTGTATTGAAATTTGTGGAAAAATACTGCCAAAAAAATCTTTATCCATGCGATGCTAAATATTAAAAAATGTATAGTTTCTGCAAACAATGAAAATATCGCTACCCGTAAAATCATAGAAGTTGATTAAAATAATATATTATACCGTTGCTACATGTGTAAAAGTGAATATTGTGAGCATTTTTTGTTTTCAATTTGTTTTTTGTTTTGCCGATTTTAAACACCATACCTGTTACCTTATCTAACATACGTTTTTAATCTACTCTGTTCTGTGAAATGCATTGTTTATGTTTATATTTTTCAACGGATGTTGAACACTATTGCTTTCTGTCTAGCGTCTAGCGCCTAGCCCAGCAAACCAGCATTAAAAAATATTATTATTAGCATACTTAAGATTATTTGTTTAATTTTAATTTCTGAGCTCACAGTTCGGTTCGACCTACTCACAGTAATTAGATGATAATAATTTTTTTAGTGTAATAACTGTTGTAAAAAATTCATCCCCATGAATATTCATAATAGCGCATTAAAAACGGTTGCGGATTACAAACATAGGTTGATTTGTAAAAAAAAAAGAAAAAAGAGATCGACATAGCGCCTTCGCGCACTGCTTTAAAGTGCAGGAACATATCAAGAAGCTAGTGAGTGTCAGTTGGAATATTTGCTTATTCTACATAAAGCGAAGAGACAGCATAATCGAAGGCTGCTGATGATGTCAACCTTTTTAGAAAAACATTTAAGCATTATTCCGAAAATGATTGTAAATAAGGGTAAGTAAAATTACCATCGAATTTATCATTAATGAATCTTATCTATACACACTGAGAAGAAAAGACGTTTCGATACTATTAAGCTCCTGTATATAAAGAAATGAACACATTTTTTTATTCTTATTGTTCATAATCCGTCAAAAATTATTTATAATATTTTAAATTTATAGATCATGAACTATCATCACAAAAGGCATTAGGAAATAAATCAACAAGTGAAAACAACCACTTAAAAGTTCAAATTAACTTCCAAAAGTGCAACGAAAGCAATTGGTACGCTAAAAGTGTTTTAAGTAATAGATTTTTAAATAGCTGAATTGTAATTTCTGTTCTTATGAATGATATTTGTATGCTGTTTTCGTTTTTAGATGAAGAAAATAGTAAACATTCTTCCACTTCAGATGACGAAAGTTGTAACCTTGCAACAACGAAAAAGAAAAAGAAAATTAATAATAAAAACATCATAAGAAAGTCTCGAATATCTTCATCTAGTGGATCTGATTAAATAATTCAATAACACTGACTCTTCAAGAAAAATTACATAAAAATTTAAATTCATTGACATCCGTCGACGAGTAAATATAAAACTAAACAATAGGAAGGTNTCTATTTTAACATTTAATTAACAATATAATTATTTATAATTATCTACTCTTTCATTGATAATAATTTTGCTTAATAATAATTAATCAAAAATACAAACCTAAATATTTTCTTTACTAATTTTTGGTCTGAATGAAATTTTCTCATTGGTAAAATATGTTTCTCAATCAATTTTGTATTTTTTTTTCATTCATTATTCCAAAAATTTTTAATGGGGCAGCAATAATTTTTCCCCGCGGGGGCCACATGCGGCATTCCTGATAAGGGGCAAATGCGGCATTCCCGATGAGGCCCACATGCGGCATTCCTGATGAGGCGCAAATGCGGCAAGGCGTTATATACCCCTTTCTTGCCCTAAGGGGCAACCTCGTGGGGCCCACAAGAGGAAGTGTGGCTGCCCCTTAGGGACCCTACCTGCACCCCCATCAAAATTCTAGTCGGGTAATTCCTAGATTTCATTTATTTCCGGTATCATATATTTGCAACTAACAGCAGTATTTTAAGAACTTAAACTGTTAAATTTATAAATTTAAATTTGGAAAAGTAATAAATTAAAAAAATAACGAGGTAGTTAGCGACATTTAAATTAATTCAAAGTTGTAATCCACACTACACAATTACTATTTTTTGTCAAAGTTTTATTATTTTTAAGATAAGATTTACCAGATTTAAGACGTTACTTGTACTTTTGGCGAAGGATCTGGACAGTAATAAGTAATTGTTGACAAGCTTAATACAAATGTTCAAATCCATTATAGGTAATAAGGAAATAAAGGAAACAAATAATCCTAAAGAGCTCGGCCCTGGACGACTCAATGTACCACAGTATAATGGTGAAAACATATTATTTTTTAGACAAACGATTAGAAATTTACTGAAAAGAGTTAATTAATAATGCAATCATGCATGACATATATGAAAGATTTGTTATAATGTTAAGGTCGGAAAATATAAATATCTATATATCTACTTATTTATTTGTCTAAAATCTTTATGAAAATTAACGCAAATTATTTTAACATATCAAACTAAATTATAACTCATAAAATAAAAGGAAATCTTAATGGAATTCCTAATAAATTCATTCAAATGGAAATGAATTTTGTCACTTTCCTTATTTCTTGACAAACAGCTTAATCCTGAAACCTATTGCCCCAAGAAATGCTCCTATATGTTCTATAAAATGTTAATATCGAGTATATTTTTAACGAATGTTTTTTCTTTCTTATTAATCTGTAGTTGTAGCAGCTGCGCGAGCTTCTCTGAAAATATGCAAATATATTGATTGAATCGTTATCTTCCACGCATTAAATATTAATCAAATAGGAAATACATATACTAGAAATGAATTGTATAAAAATGAGATATGTCAATTAGAAGAAACTTTTATATACCGTTGAATAAGTTTAATGTCAAAAATAAAGAATGTAAGCAGGTCGTACACGTATCGTCGGTAGTACGAAAAGTATTTGATAAAGAAAAGGAAATAAAGCATATCAAGGAAACAACAGCGAATACAGTCGCGTTGGGCTATAGTTAAAGTAAAATGCTCACAAAATAACAGGCATTTTAAATTAATAAACGTGGAGAAGAATGTTTCGAAAGTATTAAAGTATTAGAACATAAACTCAGTAAGGTTCTTTTGTGTAGTCAAAAAGTTTGATATATTTGCAAATTATCTGACTTAACTTGAATCAAAAATCACGTTTTACTAACACGGAGTTTTTGGCTTTTATCCATATCTATATTTATGTGCTACACAGAGAAAACTAAATTTTTATGACAACGCTAAAATTATACAATTTTTGATTGTAAATGACTAAATTTGCCGTAGAAAAAGTAGAATTTATTAGGAAACTTGTAATAATCTCAATTTTGATATGTTTCTTTAAAAATTATTTCAAGTTTCTTAATTATTACTATTAAATTTGTAGTATCAACTAAAATACCTAGTAAATTTATTTCTGCTGGGATTTTATTTTTACAAATTCGGGTCCAAATTGTAATTTTTATTATTTTCGCTTACGAAGCAACGGGCTAGTGGGATAACTTGTAAATATCGCTTTAATATTTAGGTAAATTATGAAATCACTACAGGTTTATGCGTGTCAAAGATCATTTGCACAACATAAAACTAATTTTTCTTTTTCTTGGGAACAGTATTTTTTTCTGGATAAAAGGTAGCCTATGTCCTTTTGTGTAACCCTATTCATGAGAGGTTTTATCCCTGGCTTCGCTCGCGTTGATGTCCTAAATGCGTGTCAAAGATTATCGACGACCCCATAAAACTAATTGTTTTAGCCCTCGGGAACTATATTTATTCTGGATAAAAATCTCCTTTTTATACTCCTGGCAATGTGTGCACAAAATTTGACGAGAGGTTTTACTCGCGGTTTCGCTCACGTTCATGTCGTCTCAAAGATCATCGACGATCACATAAAACTAATTTTCTATCCCTCGGGAACAGGGTAAAAGTACCCATCCTATGGCGTTTCTGTACTCCTGGCAATGTGTGTTCAAAATTTCATTTAAAATTATCTAGCTACATTCATGTGGTACAATTGTCTATACAGTACATGCTAATTATAAAAAGCAAGTCTTATTACCTGTACCCGTCGAAACCGGAACTGACGATGTGGGGGTGGCTGGGGCATAGGTCGGATGACTAGTAGGCTGTGGAACTCCCGAATTACATACTGCCGCCGCCGCGACCGCCCTGGAATTATAGGACGAACTTAAGGAATGTAAGGGATCGTGGAACATGTAAGGGTAGCCACCAGGGTCGCGTTGTTGCAGACAGCTACTGCTTAAGCTACCGGACATCGAACTGAAACAAAGAAAAAGATGAAGTCAATGAATAAAGAATAAACAATTTATAAGAATCAGATACAGAAATAATTATGGAGTTTCAACATGTAACAGGTGCCACCCTAAGTATTGCAAATAATTTCCAAAAAATTTAATAGAAAATGAAAAAATAACCAACTATGAAATATTCATTTTTATCATAATACCTACTGCTTTCGATATATGTATATTGAATTGAATTACACTCGGTTGTAGGGTTAAAATACCACCACCGAGTTCTAGTATGTATTAGATACCCTTATAGACGTTGCTGGGATAATTGTTTTATAGCTTGAATTATTTTTTATTGATATTTGCAGTATATGCTAAAGCTCCGTACTTTTCCGAACTTACAAAATTTGCATAGACGTAGCTGAGATAAGAGCCCCTCTTGTCTACAAAAATTGTTTTATAACTTGAATGATTTTTTATTATTATTTGCACTATATGCTAAAGCTCCATACTTTTCCGAACTTAGACAGCTACCCCCCCCCCTGTAAATCTCGCAGAAAATGTATGAACTCGCCTAATCACTAATCAAAGTGCAAACGGGGCCTTATATGCTCACTTTAGAATAAAATAGTAGAAGTCGAATTAAACAATTGAAATAAAATAAAAATGCATAGTCAAATTTACTTTTATTTATTTAAGGATGTTTGGGAGGTACAATCGGAGACAAGAGTACATAAACTAGAAATTTGTGATTAATTAGGTTTTGCAGCATATCATGAGGTAAATAAATACTATCTACACTAAAAAAAGTATACAGTTTGAGAGAAAATTATTTACTTTGAATCTCTATTAATAATGAGCGTAAAACTTTTTAATATGTTTAAATAATAATTAAAACTTTAAAATTGCGTTTATTTCAGACAATTATAAATATTATCATTATATTATCAAGTAAAAACGAGATTTTCAGCTAATTTTTCATTTTTTCCTCGATAACCATTTAGTGAATTTGAATAACCTTACGCTAAAGTG